ATATATGTAAACAGAGTATTTCTTTGTAGACTACAATATGCTGTGAAAAATTTATACTTTTCTACGTCTTATTATATTTCTCTCGTGTTACAGGAAAACTGATAGCAAAAAGGACGAGTGCATAGTGGCGCAAGAAAAAATGCATCCGATGTGCGCACAGCGCATAGACGGCGCTGAAATGCCGACATGTCACAGCCTGGCTGAAACTTGCAAAGAGAATAGAAGTTGCAGGTGAGACAGTATTACATTCATATTTTAAATAAATTGCGTGTTTTTCCATAAATTATCCGTGCGTCGCTACAGATTTTGCATACAGAAACGTAAAGTGAGAAAAAATATAAAATAGTAGCCGGTTAAAATTAATGTATAAGATATGTTCTTTAATTCTAGGGTTAATAATTATTACGAACAATATCCTAAAAAAAAAAATATTTTAATATCAAAGCGGAATTTTTTGTTATAATTATAAAGAATTAAGAATTAAAAGATTTTTAAAAAATTGTAATGAGATTTGGTATCACGATTTTATCTTTTAACAGTTTTATCGGATTTAAAAGTTTTATCAGATACAAAGCGGTACAAAAATCTCTCTCCTATAAAGTAAAATGGTTTTCTCAGCGCTTAAACGGCTTTACTTAAAACGACATTCATGTACACCGCCACATACTCGTGTTGCAGAAAATGAAGGAACCATTATTTTATCCTTCATAGTCGCACTGGTCCTCCGACCAATGTCCTCTTGGCTAAGGAAATATTGCATTAGCGCGCGAATAAATCTTGTTGAATCGCGATTTAACTTTAAAATTGAAAAAGTTCCGGCGGAACCGCGAGAAAAAATAAGGGACGACGTGTTTGCGATGTTTAATAGGGTACTTCTTTGGTTTACTCAGCGAGATAAGATCGCGTCTCATTCTAATTGGACATTATTATTTACATGTCAATTTTGCCCCGTTACATCGTACGACGATATTCGCTCGCCGTGAAAAACCTCGTGGTAAACTGCGAAGACGAGAAAAAAGAAACTTTATCTTTTTTTTTTTATGCGAAGAAGAGTAGTTCATTTTTTAAAGCGGCAGCTTCTTGCGGAAGATACATTGCAATTTAACAACTTGAGCTAAACATCTTGTGCAAAATGGTCTGAGAATTCTGTTCATTAGCTTCTACAAGCTAAGTGGTACATGAATATTAATCAAAGCGTAAAGGTAGAATAGTAATCGCACGTGATTAATATTCATAATCCAAAAAAATATTGATACTTTGACACCGTAGATTAGTTTAGAAAGTCTATCTTAAATTGAGGAAAAAATCTATTGTAAATTAAGGTTGCAAAGTGTAAAGCTACACAGTCGATAGAACATAGAAATATATAAAATCAGAATCACATCAAAATGTCGATTAGCGTTATTCCTAGTTAATTAACGTTGCTTTTTTCTATCTTTCTTTCTTTTCCTTTTTCTCTTTTTATTATTTAAGAATAGTTCAAAATATAGTTCAGAGAGAAGGACAGAAAGAGCTAACGAATCAGTTAGAATCAGTTAATTCAAACTATTGATGCAAATCAGTTTTAGCGAGTTTCTAAAATAAGACAATGCATCATTCATGTCTTGTCTAATTCCCGATCACTCTACTGCCTGAAACTGCATGTGATCTCTATTCTTATTAATGCAAATTTAATTAATTTTAATTATTTAGTTTTATTAATTTTACGGAACAGAAAATGTATTATAATTCTAGATATTGATAAAATTCTCTATTAAAAGTAGAATAATTCTCTCTAGTAAAAAGTACATTTTTATATATTTTGTTATTACCAAAGATACACGATAAATAATAAATTTTTTCTTAGAATAAATAAGCATTTATATATACAGAAATAAAAATTCTATATTGAATATCAAATTTTTTAAAAATATCTTTTTTATTTATTAAAAAAGATTATTAAGAAAGACAGAGATATATTATTTTTTGATTTAAGAATATATGACTGTTGTTTTCTTAAAATGATATGATTCATCATCTTTCTTATACAAAATTATATTGCATATCTATATTAATAAATAAATGTTTTTTTGCATTCTAATGAGTTGTATATTAAATATTTATTATATATTTATTTTACATTTTTTCATGGAAATTTAATAACTTATACTTTGTTGGACACACTGTTTTAATCATCACACAATATATTAATGCACCGATTATTCTACTATTACTCGGGATATAAAATACATAATTCAGAATTCAATAAATAGATTAGTTGTGAATCTTTTATCAATCAAATTTGTTATGATATATCTTATCTATGTAAAAAATATATATGTGTGTATATATAAGCAGTAATACATACACATATAATATTGTATATTGCAAGTTGGAGATATGCTGTTATTTTAATTTTTATTAAATGGTAAAATATCAGATATAACAGCGAAAATTGAAACATTATATTGGAGGGTAAAACACTTTGCCCTAATGAATATTGTAAAAAAAAAAAAAAAAAAAACAACGGGTATAACGGATTAAAATTATCGAAAGGAAGGCGCACAAATGCGCGATGGATCGTGTGTACGTACTTCGCCGATCGATTAAATTAGCACATGCACGCACGCACGTACGGCTTGAATCGGCGTTTTAATTGATTTATCGCCGAGGGCGAACGAATCCATTTTTAATTTTGCCATTTAGAGATATCTATGGACGATACGAAAACGAGCGATTGCTGCGTGCCATTGATGCACACTTTGTACCTCGATGCATTCCCACGCTTCGAGGTGTCTCGATAGTTTCTATTTAATTGCTTTCTATAATAATTGCTTGAAATATATGCCTATCATTTTTACCGTAATAGTTTTCTGTAATAGATAAATTAGAAATATTCCAATAAATTATTATAATTATTAATATAATGCACAAAATAATTTGGTTAGCTGATCATTGATTAACTTATTAATTATTAATTAAGTTATTTAATTATATTATTACTTTTTATTAATTTTTCTAAATTTATTAATATTAATTTATTATGTTTTATTAATACAGGAGTTATTATTTTTGTTTATTTGCGTATTTTTAACTTATAGAAATTTGTACATAATGTAATTTTTATTAATTTCTAATACAAAATGTGTAAAAATACTAATTTATAGATAAAAATCTAATATAATGTAAGATTTATTTTAATTATATTTATTTTATTATATTAATTTGTGTATTATATTAAGTAATAGAATATAATTAATTTCTTACATTCAACGTTGTATGTTGTAATAATCGTTTTAATGATCACTATATCACAAATCGTTATTATGCAATTAATAATTATATATTTTAGTTGAAACGTTTTTATGAAAACAAAGTTTATGTTTTGCTATATACTCTCATTGACGTTATATATACCTATGTATCAAGAGACACGTGTCCTGTCTCGCGCCAAGTCACGTGCAGCAAACAGCGAGGTGAACTGTGTATTTATATGGGGTTTGTCTAGTGTTGAAAGTACCTTATATTATCGGATCCGAGTAACGCCTGAACAAATCGATCAATTGTCACACCAACTACGGTTTCTATGGTCATCAAGAATATATACACCCAGCGATTATCTATTATTCCAACATTAATTCCCTCGGTCAGTTGGCATTAATAATCATATGAATACGTCTAATGATTATTAGAATACCACTTAATAATTATCAACATCAGAAATAATTTCAGACATTTTTCTTACTAATTTAATTGTTCGTCAAGAAAATCAATCAATTTGTCAATTAAATCAATTTTTCGTTTAATAATTTGACAAAGGCTCATTTTTAATTACAGCTAACCATTGACGTTCTAATAAAATAGTTATAATTAATTAACAAATAAATATCAATCTTTGCAATAGCATTTAGCATTTAAAAAAAATTATAGATATTTAGAATAAATACATCTTGTGTGGTATTAATTTACATTAATTTATCTTTTCTATTGATAGAGAATATATAATAATTTTTTAAATATAATAATTAATCTTAATTTTGTCATTAGACATAAATATCAGTATCAGCGCTGATTGTGATTATCATAATAATCGATGTATTAATTACTAACTCTTTAATTTATCTCTCAAAAAGTAACCCTTGATACTTTTTCAAATTCTTCAATTTTATTATTTTTTTTTTTTTACACAAGCCGCTGATAGAATTGATCATAAATAGTTTATAGTTTTGTTGATCGCAAAAAGCAATATCAAAAATAAAATACCAAATTTTTAGGCTTAGATTGGAGTATTACGAACAGAGCTGCGCGGTCGACAGCGTGACGAAGAAATGCGCCGGACCAACTTCGGAATGCAGAAAAGCGATGCTGGGTATTCTTGGCACCGATCTTCACACTAATTGCGCGTGCAAGGGTACTGAGATCAGTCAGCTTTATGGCTGCCTAGGCTGGCAGCGGCTTCTCTGGGTGAATCCTTGCGTAGGTAAGTGACAAATTCTCTCTAAAACATTCATTATTTGCAATCCCGGTTACAATAGTAATTTGGATTAAAAGATCAGGCTTAACAATTTACTATTTTTTTTTTAAATAATGGATATATGTAGATAGAAAACATCTGTTTAAATCAAAGTTTACTTTAAACTACGTTGGTGCAACTATAAAAACATAGTAATACTTTTATACTTCAAAACTTTTTAGTGTCAAAAACGTGAGATTTTTGAATATTATTATTATACGTATTATATAATATTATATATTAATGTTATAAAATTGATTTTTGTGTCTTTTTATAATGTATCGCTTCTTTAACATCATAATTGAAAAAGAAAACAAAAAGAAATCTCGCAAAAAAAAAATTTATATGTATATACATATTTTACTTATAATTTTTAAACATTTATTTATATATTACTTAATAATATAATATCAAAAACGATCAACACTTTTCAATTTTTTATAATAAAAATAATATTTTTTGGAATGATTAAACTATTTGTTAAAAAGTAAGAATATTTTGGACAAGTTATTCGCAAAAATATGAAAATTAACTTAAATCAATATATCGAGTTATCGGAACTAAATAAAAATAAACGGATACTAGCCGATGTAGGAATGTTAATTAATGCAGATTGACGGTATATTGTTCTAAAGTTTAATTAATCTTTGTAAATGTTTTATCTCGCAACATAATTTTATCAGCGTGAAAAACCGCGTGACGATATCGGCATTCAATTCTTCATTAAAATGGCATTTCAACAAGCGACAACGAGCGTATCTCGTATCTGTTTAATCCGTGAAAAAATATTTTCATGATTTACTATGAGAATAAATTGTGCTCAAAGTTATATAAACTTATTATATATTAACATCAAGTTGTATCCCCTCTTCTTAAATTTAAATTCAACTTTAATAGAATTTAAATTTAAGTTGAATTTGATGTAAATAATTTGTCTAAAATTATGTAAGAACTGATTAATAAAATATTATTTTTAATTTTAATTTTATTATTATCTTATTTTAAAATGAAATTAATTTAGTTTTTAATTTGCTCTTAAATATTCAATATTTAATACTTGGAAGTTTACTAGAGAAATTATCTGTGCTAGTTCTTTTTTCTGTGTTATAAGTCATTATACATACAAACATTACAGCGCATAAATAACGCATAACAGACAGAAAAGCTGCATGAAAAGCTGCCGATGCACTCGACATGATGCATTTCTAGAACGCAGTAGGAGATGCTATTTCTTCGTATCTAAATGACTTATCTACCGGCTGAATACAGCCCATTGCACTCATTGTGCTTTACAACTCGTCGGGGTCAAGAAAGATCGATAAGGGCTGTGTCGTTTGTTCGACCGGTGTAATTGCAATTCTGCGTGTAGCATCACAGTGTATAACTGCATAGACTGTCGTAGATTGTTAGAGATCGTCACATCACTGAATCTTGTTCTTTTGAAATTTCTATGATTCTAGTGATACAATTTTATTTAGCTTGTTTGATATATAAAAAATTGTAACATATATGTTTATAATTATTTATTTTATTAGCATATTTTTTACGCACGTTATTGTCAATTTTTACACATAATTAATATCTTCCAAAAAAAAAAGAAAGAAAGAAAAACAGAAAATCGGATCGCCGCCGTTTCATGGCGAATTTTTAAATGCTGATAAATATAATCTATCTTGCGAAAATAAAAGTTGCAAGTCGCTGCTGCTGCTCATAAAATATTATTACGCGCATCTTACGTTCCCTATTATTGCTGTACGGATCCCGTGAGAGGAGAGGCGCGATGCAGTGCCCCTTGAAAGTGTAATCACCTTAGAGTCCCCTCCACAGTACCTGAAATATTTCGCAGCAGCTGTGCCGCTGGCGATACGGGACCCCGCGACTTTTCCGATACTTTCATACTTCCGCGTCGGATGGCTACACGTGTACATTCAACTGCAATTTTACAGGCTCTCCGTTCGGCACTTTATATTGCTTAGCGGTTGTTATTTGCGGCCACACGTCCGTTTCCTGACGCGCGCGAGAGAATGTATGAGAGAGAAAGTATTAAGCTAAAGTTACTTCAAGGCGACGATGCCGATTCGAGTCGACAGTTTTTCGTACTGATTATTGCACCGTGAAATGCTATAAAGAAAAAAAGTTATGACAAAATTTCTTTTGTCAGTATGAATTATCGTAAGACGCAGAGACTATAATAGATAATTTTATACAGAAATAATGGCGCGCGAAATAATAAATATTATGATAAAATATATGAAAGAGTTTGAATTAAGAATTATTTAATAAATAGCTTACATATGGAAATCAAATTTATTAATTTAATATTAAAAAAGTAATATCGTTTTTATACATTTTTATATAAAAATATATTTCAACAATATATAAAGTCGCCTCCAAAAGAGATTATAATTTACTTCAATTTAATACAAATGAAAATATAGTATAAATAAAATATAAACTTATCATTTTTTTTAAATTGATATTAAAAAGCTATCCGTGTTATTATATAATTTCGTGTTTTTTCTACGATCTTATCTCAATCGGTTTCGTTTCCTTAATTCGCATCGTTTCAAGTATAATGTCGTTAATTACAGTGGAATCGCAGAAGGACTATCACGCGCGTAAGAAACACCATCATTCGCGTACGACAACGACGATGACGACGACGACGGCGACGGCCGTCGCGACGACGACGATGAGGTCACCGGCGAGCATGACGGCGACCACCGCGGTCGAACAAGCGGAGGATAATCAAATACCGGAAGTGACGAAGTGGCCGACCACCGAACCCATGGAAACTTGGGAAATCACAACCACCACTATGAGCACCACTTCGAGTACTACTACGACCACTACGATGCCACCACGTGAGTGTAAACGCACCGAAAGATTATTAGTTTCCTTTATTAAAATAATTTTCTAATAATTACTATTTGATCAAATTCTCTCACATTACATTCTATTATTAACTCTTATTAATTGAAAGAATCTAATTCCTAATTTTTCTTATAATTAAATTTCAATCACTAATTGCTTGTCAAGTTGATGCGAATTTTTGGATTTATGGAAACACATTCAGTAATATATTATAACTGAATGAAATATATTATAACTTTTACGAGAAAGATAAATTAAAATTAAGTACTCATATACATATATAATTGATATATAAACAATTATCTATATAAATCTTACGTAATAGATTAAATATAAATTTAATATATTAAGATTAGATATCAAGATTTTATCTGTCAATGAGATTTAAATGAGAATTACATATTTAATGCTGAAAATTGAACTCATTGCAAAATCTTCTAAAAACGATCGCAGTGCAGACAAAGTTTATTTCTACTTTTAAGACATTATTTCTTATGGTAATCCTTTATCCTATTGTTCGTTAAATATATATTCCTGACATTTTGAATTTTGAAACTCTTGGTTTGCCAATTATTATATGTATTTTAAACATCCAAATTTTTTAAATTTAATTCCTAATTTTTCTTATAATTAAATTTCAATCACTAATTGCTTGTCAAGTTGATGCGAATTTTTGGATTTATGGAAACACATTCAGTAATATATTATAACTGAATGAAATATATTATAACTTTTACGAGAAAGATAAATTAAAATTAAGTACTCATATACATATATAATTGATATATAAACAATTATCTATATAAATCTTACGTAATAGATTAAATATAAATTTAATATATTAAGATTAGATATCAAGATTTTATCTGTCAATGAGATTTAAATGAGAATTACATATTTAATGCTGAAAATTGAACTCATTGCAAAATCTTCTAAAAACGATCGCAGTGCAGACAAAGTTTATTTCTACTTTTAAGACATTATTTCTTATGGTAATCCTTTATCCTATTGTTCGTTAAATATATATTCCTGACATTTTGAATTTTGAAACTCTTGGTTTGCCAATTATTATATGTATTTTAAACATCCAAATTTTTTAAATTTAATTCCTAATTTTTCTTATAATTAAATTTCAATCACTAATTGCTTGTCAAGTTGATGCGAATTTTTGGATTTATGGAAACACATTCAGTAATATATTATAACTGAATGAAATATATTATAACTTTTACGAGAAAGATAAATTAAAATTAAGTACTCATATACATATATAATTGATATATAAACAATTATCTATATAAATCTTACGTAATAGATTAAATATAAATTTAATATATTAAGATTAGATATCAAGATTTTATCTGTCAATGAGATTTAAATGAGAATTACATATTTAATGCTGAAAATTGAACTCATTGCAAAATCTTCTAAAAACGATCGCAGTGCAGACAAAGTTTATTTCTACTTTTAAGACATTATTTCTTATGGTAATCCTTTATCCTATTGTTCGTTAAATATATATTCCTGACATTTTGAATTTTGAAACTCTTGGTTTGCCAATTATTATATGTATTTTAAACATCCAAATTTTTTAAATTTAATTCCTAATTTTTCTTATAATTAAATTTCAATCACTAATTGCTTGTCAAGTTGATGCGAATTTTTGGATTTATGGAAACACATTCAGTAATATATTATAACTGAATGAAATATATTATAACTTTTACGAGAAAGATAAATTAAAATTAAGTACTCATATACATATATAATTGATATATAAACAATTATCTATATAAATCTTACGTAATAGATTAAATATAAATTTAATATATTAAGATTAGATATCAAGATTTTATCTGTCAATGAGATTTAAATGAGAATTACATATTTAATGCTGAAAATTGAACTCATTGCAAAATCTTCTAAAAACGATCGCAGTGCAGACAAAGTTTATTTCTACTTTTAAGACATTATTTCTGATGGTAATCCTTTATCCTATTGTTCGTTAAATATATATGCCTGACATTTTGAATTTTGAAACTCTTGGTTTGCCAATTATTATATGTATTTTAAACATCCAAATTTTTTAAATTTAATTCCTAATTTTTCTTATAATTAAATTTCAATCACTAATTGCTTGTCAAGTTGATGCAAATTTTTGAATTTATGGAAACACATTCAGTAATATATTATAACTGAATGAAATATATTATAACTTTTATGAGAAAGATAAATTAAAATTAAGTACTCATATACATATATAATTGATATATAAACAATTATCTATATAAATCTTACGTAATAGATTAAATATAAATTTAATATATTAAGATTAGATATCAAGATTTTATCTGTCAATGAGATTTAAATGAGAATTACATATTTAATGCTGAAAATTGAACTCATTGCAAAATCTTCTAAAAACGATCGCAGTGCAGACAAAGTTTATTTCTACTTTTAAGACATTATTTCTTATGGTAATCCTTTATCCTATTGTTCGTTAAATATATATGCCTGACATTTTGAATTTTGAAACTCTTGGTTTGCCAATTATTATATGTATTTTAAACATCCAAATTTTTTTAATTTAACCGGAATGTTCTCTTTTTTACAAATAAAATTCCGCGTATCGGAAGCTTAAGAAAAAAAAAAAAAAATAGTTTTAATTTCTTTCGTCTGACGCATCGAGAAGCAAATTAGATAGATCGCCTCTGGGCGTTGGAAGATGCAAGGGAAGGAGAAGTTGATAAAAGGCTGGAGAAACAAACTGACGGAAAAGATAGCTTTTCTCACTTACGTTACTCTTTTCTCATAGGCTTCTGCGTGGTTCAAAGGCCGACACACAGCCACCAATACATAAGAGAGGGCAAGGGCAAAAGGGTAAGTCGCTAGCAATCTCGCAAATTTCTCGCGATCGTCATTGGTGATACAAACCACCGTCGCTCTCGAGGGCCAACGTTCGTGAGACAGAAGGGAAACAAGGATTTTGTGGTCGTCGTGCACTAGAGAAATTTTACTATAAACGAGCGAGTCGCACACGATTTTTTCTCATATGTTGACACGTCACGATACTGTATCTCTTTGACCCTTCTCGTCAACGAAAAATTTTTTAGAAACTTTATAAAGAAGCTATAGATTTTTAATAAGACGAAAATTTTATTGCGCACGCAGGGAACATATGACAATTTATTAATTCTTCTTTCAACATTTTTAGCAAACATTGTTTCTATACATTTACCTACAAATATATATGGTCCATATATGTGTATATATATTATATATATTTTATACATATATATATATATATTTTTTTTTTATAAAAATATATTAAGTAAAGATTATATTTTTATCGTAAAGCAAATATTATATATTGGTATATATAATTTAGAAGATTCTTTATTACGCTATATGTCAAAACTGAATAACAAAAATCCATACATCTTTTTTATATCTTTAGCAGGTACTTCTTAAAAATGTACACGCATTGATAGATAAACGTATTAATTATAATGTATCACATGCATTTATGTAGCTGTATCGTGAGGACGAGCCCGAATGCTCGGAGCTCTGTCACTGCAGCGAGGGTGAGCAACTTGTCTGTAACACCATCTGCGTCGATTCGTCACCCTGCAAGACGGATTTCGCTTTCTACAACCACGAAGCACCGGCTTATCAGGCACATCGAGGTCCTTGCCTTTGCTATAGTGGTGGTTTCATATGCATGCGGCCTTCGCCCGGTGAGCGATCATCTTTCTCACGATTAATACTGTTAAATGAAACATCGATTATTCGAGCGACACTTTTATTGGATTCTTCAGAAGGCGTGTGCGTGGTTTTCAAATCATTATTACATTCTTTGTAGCGTATATATTTTTGTTTTATCATAAAAATGAGTAGCTAAAAAGAATCAAAATTTATTATATTTTATCTTACGCAGTTTATGCAAACTTAAGATTTAGCCAAATTAAGATATGATTTATTTTTTATTTAAGCTAGTCATTAAGTATCCAATAATTACTTTGTACAATTTATATTATATATATGTTTAATAAAATCTCTTTTACTCCTTTTCTTTATTTTTCTAAACTCTGACCGTAGGATGAAATATAACAATTTTGGAATGATCCGACATAGAAAACGATTTCTCTTTGCGCCGTATAATACCAGCATTGTATTATTTTCGCAGACACATACAATATACCGCACGGGGTTTTCATGTTCCTGGGGTACAGCGAAAAAGACGAGACCTTATTGAAGCAGCACAACAATGTAACCGTGCTGGACGCGGTATCATCTCTCGACAATTTCATGAGAGAGGAAGTCAATAATCAGGTGAGAGAGACGTCGCCTCTACTATCCGTTAATTTTAAGCTGGATGACACTTGAAAATTGTTATCCTTCGGAAAACACCGGAGAGAAATCTCACGACTTAGTACAGAAATATCGGCCAAATTTCGAAAATAAGATTATTTTGGAACAATCCGTTATACGAATGCGACGACCTAGAAAAGAATCTAAAATCAGTCGATTAGAGTTTATTACATCTCATGTTACTCGGCGTCGAGGAAAACGGTCTCGTAGAGAGGGCTCCGGAAAATTCCCAGAATGCAATTAATGCGCAGCGTCTCCGATCGGAGCGCGAAATTCCGATAATGAGAAATGTCAATGAGAAATGTAATGGCTCGTCAAACTGCGCGTCGATTAAAAAGTAAATCGGGCAGCGCGGAATTTAATAAATTCCGTTGCGCGGTACATCGCGACGGATGACGCGCCAATCTACCTAGCTACCTATCTATCGAGGCCAATTCTCGTCTTCTATTTACAGACAGTATGCACGCTCTTCTTGTACAATGCGACCCGAGAAAACGTGATTGCAGTAGCACGGCTTGGGAGCGACAATCCACCCTTAAATAGCAGCCAGGCTCAGAATCTGCAGCACCTGTTACGTGTCAAGGTAAGCGAATCTTGGATGGACCTTTTCGCACTGCATGCGCGAAAATTGAAAGCTTTGGTGGGAGAGCTGGATAAGCCCACGGGAATGTAGTATTCGAGAAACCGCGAGACAAGGAAATTCGTTTGTTATCAAGAGAGAAATAACATTTTATTATTTTACTTATTATTTCTTCTACGAGTATACGAGCACTTTTTATCATCATTTTTTTTAAATCTTGCGCTTGCATTGAAACAATTTAAGCTTAACGCAATACATTGTTCTTTTGAAAACTTGAAGCTTTATCTTTATACATTGAAAGTACGTGTTAACCAGAATAAAAATTTACATTTAAACAGAGATTTATATATTTTATTTGCTCTTTATATATTTGTTTATAATTTATATAAATATATGTAAATTTTTAGTTATTAATTATCATATGATTTAATATTTTGAATTTAACACACATACATATATTACATATACGACATAGAATGCTATTATTTAAAAAGTTTATAGCACAATATATTAAAAATATAGCAAGAGTAATAACATGCAATCCGATTAGAATGCGTAACAAGCCAGCAAAACGTGATATAGTTTCATTCTCTCGAAGTTACGCTTTATTATTCTTTTCTTTGACGTTTATGAAGAATTATAATTAAAGCCAAAGTGACTGTTATCATTCTTGAATCAGTAAGATTACAACTGCAAAAGTGAGTTTATAGGATCTGTAAAGATTCTGCAGCGGCCCTGAGTTCAAGAAAAGCTTTGCGTGAACGATGGCGATTCGATGCACGCGCGTGCGTGCACCCGACAGGAAGTCGGTGCGGGAGGGCAATGTATAACGCGTTCTCGCAAAAGTTTTAATTTCCCCAAGCAAATCTCGGCGTCGCTCGAAAGAGATTATCGCGATTAATTCGCTTGCCGAATTTCACCCTTCGCGCCGCGATAGATCTTGAGCGAGCGCACAAATCGCCAATCGATCTCCCTCCGGTGGATTATTGCACGCGATAATGCAGCCTTACGCGTGTCCGGAACACATAATGCGCCCGCTTAAAATGCACGCAGGGTAATTAAAACTCTGTGATTCATGACCGGCTCACATACACAGTGTCGCAATTCAAATATTTATAACAGTTGATTAAAGAAGTAATGACTGATTAAAAATTAAACAGTCGATTTAAAAAAAAAAATATATTAATTGGTCAATTGCGTGATTGAAAAAATTATTGTAACTTAGAAAAAAAGAAATTTCTTAGCAAATTAGAAGTTTACATTCACTGACAATGAGCATAAAATACGTGAAAAGTTTTTTATGAATTTTTAAAATAATAATTAAAAATTATATAAAATTAATACAAAATCTGTCATCGTTTTAGTAACTCTTTAATATATTTAATAATATAAGTCATTATATATTTTAAATCTTAAGTTTTAATTTATATTTAAAATAGCTTTTACAATTAAGTTTAATACTACAATCAAGTTTAATATTTCGACATAATAATTTGCTACAATAATTGTCCATATAAAATAACAGAGAAAGCAATTAGTGATGATGATATTTATTCACATACTGAACATAATCATCAAAAGCAATAATGAATTCTCCTCTTCGATTAACGTTGCTTGCAATGAATATTCAACGCGAAAGAGATTTTTATAATCGCGAATTTTTGTCATCACGAAAAATTTGCACGGAAAAAGGATGGATCGGTCAACGGAACAACACACGCCAATTTGAATCCAGAATACCTCCATCAAGTTGCAAATGGACCAGCGCTTGATCACAGATTGGAAATCGCCCCGGGAACCTGTACAACTGTGTAAAATGCGTGCTGCGAGCAGAAAGCAACGCGCATTTAGTGACATACAGGGTGTCGAAGAGATGCATCACAATCGATACAAAACGATATTGGCGAAAAATTACACACCATTCCGATTTTAAAAAGGTGCACCGAAAACACTGGTGAAAGAATTTCTCAACGCCACCTTGTACGTTTGAGAGAGAAGCACGACTGTAATGAATTTTAAATAAATCATAACATTGAATTTTGCAGAGACAATTACGGATTTGATAGAGTATATTATTTCGAGCTAATTTAATTTGTAAATTTGTTCAAAAAATATCTTTATAATAATATCCACAAAAATTATTAATAGTAAACTTGATTTATATTAAAATGCAAAAAATAAAAAAAGAAATAGTGTTCTAATACCAATTTATATTTACCAATAATGAACTTGATAACACGTATATAATTAACTGAAAGATTTTCTTTAAATAATACATTTTTTAAATTAAACTAAAAAAGGAATTGTATTTGTATTTTAGTACGAATAATATCAATGTTATTTTGTGGCTTCGTTCATGGAATATCCGTTGGACGGCTTTAAATAACGGCTCGACGGAGAACGTCTGACAGAATTACGGGAATTCGTTTCTGCCGTTGCCTGCGGGAGAGATAGCGAGTTTCGATCCGAACAAAATGGGCAACTATACGAGAGATATATAGATAAATAGATTGAGAATCGCGCTAAGCAACGATCGCGAAGAAATAGCAGTTTGAGGAACCGAGTTAACTTATTGATCTCACGAGATGACCGAAAGAATTCTTTTTTGGGAGAAGAGGATTTGAGCAAAGATGAGAGAATATAATTTTTATATAATCTTTTTAAATTACTTTTAAACATGTCGATAGATAAACATTATTACTTGTAAGTAGTAACTATTTTTAATAATACAATAGAAACATTATATATATGTTTAAGTTCAATTTCGCGCAAATATACTTATTATATAATGTGCATTTTTCTCTAAATAACGAAAGATTAACAGTGTGTTTTATTATGTGTATAAAATGGCATTTAAAAATATCAAACTATCATAGATCTATCCGCGCGAGGTGTATCTAAAAATTTTCAGATTCACATAAGTTTCTCTGGCAGTCGGCCCGTGGTTCGTTCCCAACATCATCTCGTCTCCCTTCTCTCTCTAAACCCATGAGGCTCGTAACGGCGGCGGACTGCACCATAGAGAGCGAGGAGTACGGAAACTTGCATTTTCCCTCGGCGTGACTGCACGCAGCTACATACGTCATAAAACTTTGCTAATATAGCGGAGGACCGCGGTGCCGTCTTTGCGCCGGTGACTCGAAATCGCTCCTTTCTCTCCTACCGAGTCGGCATTTGTCTTGCTTTCCCTCATCTTTCACTTTTTAACCTTCTGCGCATTTTCATTCTCTCTCTCTCTCTTTTTTTCTTTTTTTTTCTCTATCCAATGTCAAATGGAATTTAGCTGGTGTAGAATTTCACAACACTTGTTATTTAAATCATTATTTAAATCACGTAAACGTTTATATAAATCAGATGCAATCGAGTACTTTCTATCAAAGAGAAAATATTGATTGTCTTTAATTGGGACTATACTAGATACCTATCGTCTGAACGATTCTATTTTTGTTCGCTTTATATGAATATTGATTCAAATGTAATTGTTTGATAATTTGATCTTATTTGATACCATCGTACTTTTAGAATTTGTGGACTCAATTATGTATTTTCGTTTAACTGATTATAGTTACAAAAGTTTCGAAATACATCTAAATGGTGTTTAATTTATAAAATGTCGAATACTTTTCTGCTAAGTTTTTAATTTGATTTTAGCCAATTCTTATCAAATAAATAATACCAATAATTGTTATCTTAAATATTGACATGAAAATAAATTAAAAATTCGAAATCTCTAAAAATATTATTATATTAATAACTATTGTTTATCAAAAATGTATATTACTTTATTTATTTATAATTTATACCTTTTTCTATACATTTTATTAGCACATTTTCTTTTTTTATTAAAATAATTAATCTGTTGAAGAAATTATTACATTTCTTTCTTTATTTCGGGACGAGAATCTTTACATTAAAGAACAATGAGCTAAAACATTGCCTACTTTATATCTTAGAAATGCGAAAAATTACCTTGCGCGCCAATATAAAGATAGATTTCAAAATCTCGTAAATATCGTAAGTGAAGTTAACGAATTATTCCCCTGGGTACCGAATGACACTAGGATCTTTATTCAGTGCGACGCTTACTTCTGTGACGGCGCAGTTTAATCCCATCTTGCAGCAGTTCGAGAAACGGCGAAAAAGCCACAGTTTGCCGACGTTCCGCGCCGTTTTTCAATTATGCATTCGCATATTTTACCGGAATGCCTTGTCGCATTCAGCGACGAACGCGACGACAGCTGCCGGACTGCATTTACGAGGTTAACAATAATTCAACGCCACACCATCTTTACGGCGCTATACATTCGGTGTTCCCGTGATATCCACGAGTATGCTTGTTACTGTTGTTTATTCCGATTTTATGCGATGAAAGCTTTAAATTCCCAAAATTGTCTAAAGGTCCGCATTTTTGCCTTTTTTCGCAATAAGCATTTTCATTAAATAGATAGAAAATGTTAATATATTAAAGAATTGTGTATACATATTTTAATGCGCATGTAATGTTGTAAAAAGATTGAATATTTTGTTATTTCTCATTAAATTTTGAAAAATTTTAATTTAAATAATTTCTCTTTTGCAGATTGTTAAAATTTCTTATAAACGTCGCGTATTACTCGTACAAGAAGCAATCATCCGAGAACGTAAAAGAATCAGAATGTAGAGCGTATGTAGAATGTAGTTCCATTCGTGGATATCATCAAAACAGAGAATTAAAACCCCAGAAATAGAAAACTCAGACACGTCCGCAATTTCTAATAATACCAAAGAGTTGTTTCGATGCTATTGTAAGGATCTGTGACCTCTTTCCATGTTTTCACCGCCTGCTGTTCAACTCTTTATATTGGTATTAAGAGGAGAATAACAGAAAGATTGGTGCTCGTTAGAATCTAAACTTAAGTCGACAGGACAGTTGGTCATGTTCAACGTCACCGCTAAACACCGCTCGCGACTATAACAAATTGCAACAAAAAAGCCAAGATTGTTTTTACGACGCCATGCGCGAC